TTAAGTTGCCTATTTGGCCTCAGTTACGTCCTGCAATGGCACATCAAAATGGATGGTGATCTGTGGAGAAATCACCAGAGACTGAAAACAAGCTGCCCACTCCTAGCACAGAGCATTTAAAGTTGTCATACTCTTACTACCTTTGCTGTAGAACTATGAAAATACTAGATTTTGTATGAGGGGGCAATTGATCCTGTAAACACTCTGGCGCTCTTTAAAATGAGTCAAGTGAGCAGAGTGTCTCATGGATGCCAGTGTAAAAGAGGTGATTTACTAAAGATGTGAGATTGCTTAGAAAGAGAATAGATTTTAATCCATTAGCACGATGATGCAAGTATACAGATGTCTTTTACAATGAGTATTTTCCTGGGTAGGGGATGTGATATAGAAGAATTATTCAATTATCTTTTCCCCTTTGTCCAGCTTCCGTTAGGTGATGCTTCTGGCAAAAGCAGTGAACTGGAGCAGCGGGTGGTTACTTCACATTTTTCCATAGTAGTTTATGCCCTTCCTGTGTCAGGGAGTTTACTTTTCTCCTGGCATAACTTAAGTTGCTCATGTTCTTAGTGTCCATAGTTCAGAGTATAAAGATCACTTCAACAGTCATCTTTTACTTGAACTGAATCCCCTCATCCCTCAGCCCCAGCATACATTGCAGTCATTCCAGATATGGATGCTTGCTAGATATTCAACAAGAACAAGGGCAAAAGAGAGAAGAATCTTCTTCTTAGTGAGACCATTAGGTATCAGCATATCTGGACATGCAGGTAGTTGCCACTGGTTTGAGTTATTGTTGAGTTAACACAAAGTAAGCTGGTTGTAAGCTCATGAACTTCTGTCTTATGATAGTGCAAGTGGTCTTCTGCCTTATGGCCATGGTATCTTAATGTGGAAGTGACCTGGAAAAGGATATTGGACCTGTCTATTTTGCTCTTGACAGAGATAAGGTAAAAATACCATTTTTAGTTTGGCACCAATTGAGTCAGAAAAATTTCCAGTTCAACTTTCGCAGACTGACCCCAGGAAAATGGAGGCTTGCTGGAAAAGGAGTTCTATGGCTTTCATACCCTGTCCCATAAGAGGTGTTCTGTTGAATAATGCTGTCTATAGTCAGTGGTTGTCCTGGAAAACAAAAGTGGATCTTTGTGCCGAGTTGTAAAATGTGGAAAAAAGGATACTCTCCACTGGGACTCTGAGAATATTTTACATGTAATTTTATTAAAAAAAAAAAAAATAATAATAATAATTAATATTCTGCATCTGATTTTATCTTTGACTCTGTAGTACCCTGTTCCTTATCTGGAATCATTGCCATCTAGGTAGATTAGGAAGTACTCACTTGACTTCTTTGATCTCCCTATTTTTGACAAGCTCTGCATGGGCAACTATTGTAGTTCCACATCTTTTTATTGGAAGTGTGGAATTTGAGTGTTTTCTGAAGAAAGGAATAAATCATACCTGATGAACATACTACCTGATGAACATACTTCCTGACCTTTGGCTCCAAAGTAACCATATGCTGTACACCTCACGTAATATCACAAGAGACTCTAGGTCTCCAAAATAGCTTGGCTTTTCTATTCCCTTTTGAAATGCTTGTCTGAGTAGTATAAGCTATTTGTTCAAAGTTTTTAGGTATGCAAAATAGAACTTGTTTTGTGTTTACCAGGAGCAAATAGGCCAGTAGAACAGATGTTTAGATTTATGAATGGTGCATTAAGAGAGAGGAGTAATCAAATGAGGGTGGACAAGTGTTAGGGATGTTCTTCTGCCCAAGGGGAATGGCAGTGAAAATTTTGGTCATAAACCAGTTTTCAACAGACACTTACTGAGAGTTGCCCAGTTTAAGAAATAGGCCTGGTAGTCTCAGAGTTAAGAAGCTGCCAGCCGAAAATTGAGCAGGATATTTTTAATAAAGTGCATCTGTTGTTTTTTTGTTTTTGTTTTTAATGTGACTATTCCATGACTTTTGGAAAAAAAAAAAAAGTCAGTAATATCCCCAGCTTTTGATATTTGAAATATGGTGGATGTAATTACAGAGCTCTTGTCTATTGCACTTCTTTCTTGTGTGTGTGATGAAAGAACTGTGTACTTGAACAAGGGAATAATTTTGCTTCCCTCTGTTTGCAAAATGCTGAACAGTGTTCTGGGTGCTGCTTCAATAATAGTTTTAGTGACAATTTGGCCTTGGTAACTGAGTAAATGATCATGTTTTTCCTATAGTCAGGTGATCATTTAAAAAACAAAAAACAACACAGCTCAAAGGTTAGTTTGGTATTTTTGTCTGTTTTCTGCATTTGTTCTGTCAATGTTTAATACCCTTTAATAGCTTAATGGATGCCTTTGTTTAAAAAAAAAAAAAAGTGCATAATTCTTATTCTCTAAGTGAGTTTCCCAATTTCACACACACACAGGTAAAGACAGAAAGATGAGCCATAAAGAAATCCCCTGAACCTGAAGCATCCTGAGTTCTGCCAAAGTTCACATAAGGGTTTGGATAAAAACTTCTGTGGCTCAGATCCACGTCTAATTTTTCTCCATTATTGGCTCCTGGGTTGCTGCATTAAATCTGAGGAGCAGTTCTGTAATTATTTGCTGCAGAAGCATTCATGCAAACAATAGGAATTAACTTCTTATCATACTGGTAATTTCTTTATGCCAGGTCTCTTCTTATTTTACGTAACTTATGAATTATTTACCTTTACAGTTGCTTTATGAGTATCTTTTGTAGTTTTGGGTTGATTTCTCATTCTGTAAAGCCTATCGTGTGATGGGACAAGGGATAATGACTTTAAACTAAAAGAGGATAGGTTTAGATCAGATATTATGAGGAAATTATTTACTCAGAGGGCAGTGAGGCCCTGGCATTACTGCCCAGGGAGCTGTGCATGCCCCATCCCTGAAGGCATTCAAGGCCAGGTTGGATGGGCCCTGGGCAAGCTGGATGATCATTAAGGTCTCTTTCAACCCAAGCCATTCTGTGATTCCATGATAACATATTGTTTACTTCTTCATTACAGCATTAAGTGTTATCCTAAATACATAAAAAGCAATCACTGTGGCTTCTGAGGTATCTTGTGTGAGTTGAGCAGCCTATTCTGGCAAAAAAAAAAAAAAAGAAGTGAAGATCAACTATTTACTTTTATCCAAAGATTTCTTTAAAAGGCAAGATGTTCTTTTTTCTAGCTTAATGAAATATCAGGGAATTATTCCAAGAGATCACTTGCTTAAACTTTGAATCAAAATTACTGCTTGTATATGTTACTGGTAATACCCAATAACAGGAAGACTCAAAACAGGAGTTAACTGAAAAATGGTAAGTATTTTCTCTTCCAAATTGTTTTAATGCTTAACTGCAAGCATAGGAAAAAAAAAAAAATTAAAAAAAATTTGAGGGGAAAAATTACTTAAAGGCTTTCTTTTGTTCATTTCTCCAGTAGATCTCTAAGGCTGAAATGGAATTGCAAGCACATTTTTGCTCTCTATGAATTAGATAGCTTTATGTAGAAATAGATAAAGTTAATACTGTGAGGAAGATGTTTTCAATCTTTTACTCCCTTTATAAAACTGCAACTGCAGATTTTGATTGAAAAATAATCTCCAGGCCTTCCCGTTTTCCATCTCTGCCCATCCCCTTCCCTTCTCTGGTCTCTTGATTATTTGGTGTAATCACAACCAATAAAGGGAAGCCAGAGGGCAGTTGTTGCTACCATAGGAGGAGTTGTCCTGTATGCCTTTCCTTCAAATGACTTCTGTCCTGTGCATATGATACAACCTTAAAGGTGGTGGTAACTTGTCTTCTCTGGCATGGTCTCCTCTCTCCAAATGATTTTTGCTGTACTTGACAGTTCTCCATTGTAGGTTGTTGCCCACTTTCCTGATGCCTAGTGTCATATTTGTCCATAATACATGAGAAAGTGGTTGTTACAGATTGTGTTTTTTTAAAGCCACTGTTTTCTGAAAGAAAGAAAGAAAGAAAGAAAGAAAGAAAGAAAAAAAAAAAAAACCATCAAAAATCTCCACCAAAAGCAATTCTAGACTGATTACCTTTTTCTTAATTTATATCCGAACAATATTCTACGTTTTGATCTTGCAGTGTAAGAAAATACTTTCCTATACAGTCTGTGCCTGCTTAGCCAAAACATTTGATTGTGGGAATGTTCACTTGGTGCTCTCCATTGTTCAAGTGCTGTGTAATAATGACTGGGTCTTGAAATTCAGATCCCTGTGAGCATCCAGTGTGAATTTTGTTGATGTAATGTATAGTCAGTCATATTGGGCCAAACTGAGTGTAAGCTGAACCCTTTTTCCTATAGTCTGTCTCTACATTTTGTGATTTACGTTTCCCATGGAATCTATGTTGGTTGAAGATTTTAATTATGAAAGACCTGTGGTCAGAAGACATGGAGCATTCTTGCACAGAAGGTTTCTCCACAGTTTTTTCAATTAGAAGTCACTGCCACAGCATTGCAATTAGAGAACACCTTGATTCAGATACTGTAAGAAAACAAGATTTGCTATTGACCATCCCTTTCTAACAGCTCTGCAATGAAAACTGGTGCCTGGTTCTGCACAGGTAAGTATCAGAAGAATAGTTTTTCTTTTGAACAAATAGAATAATGAGAAAGACACAACAGGGCAGCAATCCCTAGTCCTCTGCTGTCACAAGGAATGACTTGTGTGATATGTAGCCACTTAAACCGTAACGCTGATTGCCTGATCAGTGTAGCAAATGGAACTACTAGGTGATTCATACTGGTGGTTGTGGAGGGCTAGGGAGGGGAGGGAGGCTTCTAAGGGTAGTCTGTGCATGCTTGCTATGTAAAATGTTACTGCTGATAGCATAAACTCTGATTTTGTTTTGTTCTTTCTGTCTTCTCTCTCTTCTGGACTTGGCCGGGCCATGTACAAATCCCAAACATTCAACAGTACTGGAGAGTAGATAGTATTTACCTCAATAATGGTAGTTTCTTTTCGATTCTTTTTAACTCTCAATTCAGATGATGGGTCGAAGCCAACGCCTACCATGGAAACCCAGCCCATTTTTGATGGAGAAGGTAAGAGCATCCTTTCTTTAAGAAAAAAAAAAAAAAAGGCAAAAACAAAAATGAACAAAAACAAAATAAAAAACAGTGAAAAAAGATACTTCCCTTGTTCTTTTTCCCTAGGGTTTATGGCTCAAACAATTTGTTTATCCTGCAAAGCAGAAAAGCCAGTGAATCTCATAAGTTATCCAAATTTCACAGTGCTCTTGGGACCTCAGGCATTTTCCCTAATCCTTTTACATCCTCTTCTCCCCCCTGGAATCCAACAATAACAGCAGTTGAACAAATTCCTGGGATAACCTTGAGGAAAAGGTGTCACGGCTAAAAAATGTCTATTGAGTCAGAAATGGGAACTTCCTTTAGGTTGTCCTTTCCCCTTGCTCTCTTTACCCTCTCGATGCTGTGAGTTTTGTAACCTCTGCTGTGCATTACTGCATAACTACAGGGAGGACAGTGCTAAACCACAGCTTGTGCACACTGACTTGGAAGAAAATTGCTGAGAGGTTTCTTTTTTTAGTAATTACTTTCATTGATGTGCATACTATCTGAGCAAATGAAGTCAGTGTCCTGGGTCTACTTAATACATAGCCCACCAAGGCAGCTTCCTTCTCAAATAGGCTAGTTTTGTAATTGTATTGTCTCAAAATATCAGACTTCAGTCCATTGGAAGCCTTGAAACAAAGATAAAATGGCTGTCATCAAGCCTTTTTACCAACGGGGATTCTGGTCCTTGGGTAATTAATGGGCCTATTAGCAGTTGAGGCTCAAGTCTAGGCCATTATGTGACCTGTTTACTGGATTTTAAACTGGATTAAAGGCAGAATTGGAAACTTGTGAGCAAGAGTAATTCTTGCTGCTAATACTTGCTGCCTTCTTGAGAAAATGGAAGACAGGAATGGGGTGTGTGTTGTTGCTAGAACAAGCTTATTTAATAGCAAAGTACTGTAGTCCTGTCATTTCTAGAAATCATATGTATGTAAGAATCTTCTTATGAGCTTTATGAAACAAAAAAAGGTCTTTGCAACAAAAAGCATTCTCAAATAAACAGTGGAGACTAAAGCCTATTTAACTGTCTCTTGTTTATATCAAAGGAAAGTTCCTTCTGGCAGCAAGTTGATGTTCTATTAAATTGCTGTCTGCAATCACAGCATGCTTTTGGCCTTTAAATTTTCCCATGAGGGAGTGCCCATAGGTATTCAAAGGAGAGAATGCACTTGTAAAATGCAGGAGTGAGCTAAGCTGGTTAAAACAGCTCCTTCTAGAAGCAAATCTACATTTTGGTCATTTTTAAATACAACTGGGCAAAGTTATTGAGAAATATTGCAGTGTGCAGACCTTTTCTGGTCCTTATGGTGACAGGCAAAATCTAAAAACACTTTGTCCTATCTTTTATGAAAAGTATTTTCAGTCCAAAACTTTTGCATTGATTTCTTAAATCAGGAAGAGTGTAAGAACACTACAGAAGAGAAGGCTTAAGGCTGACCTTGTAGCAGCCTTCCAGTACCTACAAGTAGGTTATCTAAAAGACAGAGGCAGGCTCTGCACAGTAATGCATGATGAGAAGATGAGAGTCAAAAACCAAAAAAACGTATTCAGACTGAATATAAAGAAAAACTTTTTTAGCAGTGAAGCAGGTTTCCTAGAGAGACAGTGTGACCTGCCTTTCCTTTCCAAGTCAGTTTGATAAAGCTGTGAGCAGTGGTCTGATCCCATAGATAATCCTGTCTCGAGCAGAAGGTGAACTGGAGTTCTCAGTGTGATTTGCTGCACAGCCTTTTTGCTCTGAGTAACCACGTCACAGTGCTGCACCAGAATTGTCACCCAGTATCTTAGGTAGCTCTTTCTGAGGAACGACACGTACTTGGTGTCAGATGCAAGCGTCAGATGACAGAAAAGCTTAGAACATTCACCTATCAGGTCTGGACTCTTTGTAGATGTTCAAAGGAATTAGTGTCCAAATCTCATTCAATTCCTGTGTATTTGGGGTTGAAATATCTTTTGGGTTTCTGAACTTGATTCAGTGTCAGGCAACCAGAGTGGACCTGTTAACAAAAGATGAATGGGCAATAAAAATGTGGAATTTCTTTCCATGTTCTGTTTTTGAATGCCTACCTCAAGCAACTAGAGAATGACTTATTTCAAAAGGCATTAAATATGCTCAGCTGCTCCTGAAACTTGTACTACTATTGGAGTTCAACATCTCTTAGATGAAGGCTTGCCTATTTCATGCTTTCACCTACATTAGAGGATTATGGATATTCAAATTTTTGACAAAGTAAGTTCCCCACATACTTGCTACCCTTATTCCAAAGGGTGTAAGAGAGCAATGCCAGAGCCACAAACAGTGCAGATCAGATGAATTAAACTCTTCTGTCTAAGGTTTCAATCATAAAGCAGCCATCTCTTTAGAAATTTTTAAAATTGCATTTATGTACAGATCTCAATGTTTTTATAGTGATTATCCTCTTAGGGCAAGTAACTCCTCTACAGAAAAGTGTTTTAGTGGCCCTTGCTTTAGTTATAAATAAAATAATTAAGAAAAGAAACAACCCACACAACAATTTTATTTCCTTTGGTACTTCTAGGCCCAATTTTCTTTACATCCAACCTCCATTTAGTTTTAACATGCAAGTTATGTTCATTTTCTAAAGAATAGCCTCTTTGAGTACCTTATCTTTTTGGAAATTTCATCTGTTAATACAGTAGGAATTTACTCTTTCCACAGATCTGTTGTTCAGAGGAATAATTAATCTAGATTGCTTCTCTGTAGCCCAAAAACTATCCAGGTTAACTGGATTGAAAATACATTTTTATGATAGATCCCAAAGGGTTTGCTTACTTTTCCTTTCTCCTCTTTACTGGTGATTCCTTTTCCTGCAGCTGTCAGCCTCACTTAAAGATATGCACTATTGTGTCTCTATAGGCCCTGACCCATTTTTTGTCATCCCTTAACTTCAGTTATCCCTTCCTTTTCATCTGTAGATGCAGATGTAGTGCAGAGCCAGAGCTAACTTTCATCACAAACTTGGGAGTTTGGATCCAGCACTTTGCTTTATGGCCTTTTCTGATTTTGCCCTTCTGCCTTTCCTACCCCTTTGTCCAATGTTTTATTTGATGTGGCTACCAAAAAATATAAAATCCAAGAATATGTGGGCACGTGTATTTTGTAGGAGCACATAATGACTGATAATACAGTAGTGTATTGAAACTTGCAGATAAGGCAGTCTTTGTTAAGCAAAATTCTGCTACTGCTGGGATATCTATCAATGTTCAACCTGAATTGTCTTGTGAAAAAATGCCCTTAGCATAATTACAATAATATTTACAGTCCAGTGTAACTGAAAGCATATAGGCAGGGAAAAAATTCATTTTTCCTTTGTGCACTTTTAATGTGTAATCAGGTTCTCCTGTTGTCAGCCAGCTTCTCCCTTGCTGAGCAGATCCATGTAAATGTAAAAAACAGCAGGAAAGCTCTTGTAAAAACTTCTTAGAGGAACTTCTTAAGACAAACTCCAGGATCTAGTGTGTAAAGCATGCTCTTGTGGAAGCTGGAAAATGTTTGATGCTGAAAATGTCGGTTTAGGAACAAGTAGGTAACAAGTACTGCTTTGCTGTAAGTTCTATTCAGATACTGTTGTTTTGTCATTTCCATAAGGTGTTGCTTAAGGCAGGTTCTGCTGTGCTCTGAAACTGATTGTAAAACTTCAGAGGAGTCTTAAGCACTTTCATCACAAATTTGTTTTGGTATCTTGGTTGTAGTGCATTAGAAGACTTTTTTAAAACCAGAACTTATTTCTTCAACAAATTTCCCTTGAAGTATTTCAAAAAATATACTTTTTTTTTTTTTTTCCCTATTTGTGTTTTGTTGTTGCTTGTTTTAGGGATCTGACAGAACTGCGGTCAATTATGCTTGGACTGTTAAAACCATATTTAAAGTCTGGGTTGAGTTTTTTTTTAATCTGGATTTCATGTATACTTTGGTGGAAATTGGTATATGACATAGCACACGACTAAGTATTGAAGAGAAAGGCTATAGCCTTGAGAATTCGGCTAAGAAATGGGAGTTGGAAGAGACAGTAATGTTTTTCCAGTAGTGAGGCACTCTTTGGAAGGTGAAGATAATGAGATAACCTTGTGGCATATTTACAAATACTGGCTCACCAGGGGGTGAGCTGATGTCTACAAAGACAGTGGATCGTTTAAGTCATGATTGTAGCAAACATGCTGTCCTCATAAATAATGACCATGTGTAGTCACTAGTTGCTGCAGTTTCTTTAAGGCAGTTATTTTTTCTCTTTCAGAAATCACAGCACCCACCCTGTGGATTAAGCACTTAGTCATCAAAGATTCCAAACTGAACAGCTCCAGTATAAGGAATTCAGGTAATGCTCGATCTTAAACTTTCTTTTTTTTCTTTTTTTTAACAAAGCTGCAGTTTCTCATGTTCTTGCCTTGTTTCATCCTTTTTCCATTGTAACCTATATGACTGCATCTGCATTGCAGGACTTGAAGGGCAGGCTACGAAAGAATTTCAGACAGCATGCATTTTTTGTGTCCGGAAGGCCACTGTAGATGTGCCACAAGGGTTGTTTGTTTCCCAGACCAGAACTAGGGAACCTCTAATTTCTTCATCTGAAAATTTATCCTAGACAGTTTTCAACTTTGTTTTACTTGCTGTTCAGCAGTTTTTCGTGGACTTGCAAATTGATGTGTTTATCTCTGAGATCTGTGCTATGGATTTGATCTAGGCAGATGAGAAAATACCATTGAGGGTCGTCTTGCAACTTCAAGATTCTTCTCTGCTGGGGGTAGTTTTTACTAGAGAAATTGTGGCGTTATTTCACAAGAGAAAGTAAGTTACTTATGTCTGGGTGTAATTAATTGTATGAATGGGAATGGGAAAAGAGGGAAGCAGCAAGATATGAAGCTAAGCTGTAAAACTTGAGATTGGAAATGAGCGTGTAACTGTGTGAAGTAACTGAAATCAGAAGAAACTTGAAGGAGAATTAAGTAGGAGAATGAGGGTAAGTATGGTTTCTGTCTGGTATGTTTTAACTAATGTGGAAGAATGTGAGAAGGTGAAAGGTACATAAAGAAGAAAATTGTCTTAAGAAGCCACGAGTTTGCTCTGGGGTTTCAGTGGGAGCTGTTGCTATTGCATGTATTTTACAAAATAATGTGTTACTAGAACAATTATTGGAATAATTTTAGTCTCCAGAGCAGTTAAACTATGCTGACTTGAAGTAGCTGGTCACATGGTATTTCTGAATTAGTCAGAGAGCATTCATGGCTCTCTATAATTCCTTTAACCTCCCTATGCCCCATTGCAGAGTGAAAGCAAGGCCAGATCATGGTTGTCTTGCTGCAGCATGGAGAAGAGCTCTTTGCAGTAAGAGACCCAGTGTTGCCCAGACCCCAGTTTTAGAAAGTCTTCTGTGCCTCACTTCCTGACTGTCTTGGCTGTAGGGTGGTCTGTGTAGGAACTTGCCAGTGAGAATCATCCAAAAGCTTCAGATGATGTAGTAGAGTTAGTGGTCTTCTCTAGGGATGTTTTTCACTGGAGAGTAAAAGCAGCTTGTGTTTTGTCAGCAACCTGCACAACCATTCTATTCACAATGCAGTTGAAGGTGACAATTCAATATGAAAATCTTGTGTAATGGGTCCTACCTATCTTGGGGATCAGCTTTCCTTGTTATGCAGCAAACTGGTAGCTGTAATGAAAATAAGATTTCCCAGATATGGGTTCTGATAGGTTACAAAGTGACCCAAGACTGGGATCATCTTTTACTCAAGAGCCTGTCTCCCACCCTTTGGCCTGGCAGAGCCAAAGTAGGCTACTTTTCATGTTGTTCAAGTGTTTCCTGAGGAAGCTGTCTCATGTAAGCTGGAGTTCTGTTTGTGAACGAATTCATTTTGTGAGCTTACCCATTTTCCAAATTTTTTTTCCAATTAGTTATGATGTCATTTCTGGTATTCAAGCAAGATCATTGTGGGTACAAGCTACAAATCAAAAATAAATGGTCTTCTGGAAAATTCAAGATTTCCATAACAGGTGGTTTCTGCAGCATGCTAAAAGGAGATGTGTGGTTCATCTGACTCAGCCTTTCTTGTGGCCCTAACAGACACTCATTTGCTGTAGGATCTCATTAAGAGTCTGAGCTGCCAGTTTTAGACCCAAGTTTCCACACCAGGCCATGCAGTCATCTCTGTTTCTTACAATGAGTTATTGATATCAAGAAATGCTGCCTCATCAAAATGGGACTATGGAGTAACTGATAAGAGCTGTGAGGTATTTTAGTCTTTCTTTCAGCCAACTAAACCAAGTCTCCTCTCTGGTAGCTTTCATTCTTGGCCCTTGTCCTGTATGTTGAAAGACAATATAGGGTTGGTGGGATCTAACAGCAAAGGGCCAAGTAAGAGGGATTATCATTTAGAATATTTTTTTCTATTATCTTCAAATTTCTCTTGGATGAAGATGATTAACTGTCATGGAATGGGCATGCAAAATTAGGGGATGTTTTTGACTGCTTTTGTTCTTTAGCAGTTTGAAATATAAATGCTCAACACACTTCTGATTTCTGATCAGCACTCCGTTGAACATCTTGGAAAGCTAATGCCATGACTATACTGACTGAGAGGAGAATGTAAGAATTGCTGTATTGAGACAAATAGTCTCTATAATTTGCTATCATCTCCTTCTGGTTAATTTTGTGTTTCAGTGAAGGCTTCTAGAATAAACCTTTGAGTAAGTCACTTGCCTAACCATCCATTTTAGCAATATTTTCAGCTGCCTTTACCTAGAGTCTGTGGTGTGTTCCTGGGTATGTATAGGGGAAGAAAAGGAGGAGCAAGGAAGAAAAGGCTGAGGAGATGGAAATATTCTCTTCAATACTTCAACTGTCCCAAAGAAAAGTGAACAGATCAGCAGTACTCCCAACATTGTTGTTAATAGCACTTCTCAGCAAGGCTTTGGTCCTTGTCCTGTGTCTGGGCCTTGTATCCATTAACATCTGTGTGGCTGTGTACCTGATGGAAGTGAGGAAGTTGGGAAGATTTGCAGAATTTATTGTATCCATCTTGGCAGTAGGGGTGGATAGGACTTGCTACTGAGATAGCAGAAGTGAAAGCAGTCTGAGTTGGAATTTCCTGCATCCCTTCAGGATGAACCAGCCAGCAGATTGTTGAGCACTGCAGAATTAGCGACTCCTCTGCTTCCTTCTAAAAGAAAATACCCATATTACATGCACAGTCTGTATCTCACACGAGCTGTATTTGAAATCCAAGTGTTCTACTTTCCATTTAGTGTGGATGAGCAGGAGAGGTTCTCCTGAAACAGCCTTTGTTTTGGAGCATTTACATTTTGTGTGATATGTGTAAATATTTATTAAGCTAGGGATCAGAGTACTTGACTGAGATACCATAGGTCTCCAGATGTTTTGCCAGTGAATTTTTCTGTGTTAGGCAGAACATTGTTAGGAGGGATTGTTAGTGCTTTCATCCCAGTCCACCTTCCAAATGATGACTAGACCTCTTTCTTACTGGGCTGAGATGCAGGTTGAAATACTCTCAGCCAGAGGCAGGAATCAAAATGTGAACATGCTGTAACATCTAGACAGTTGAGTAGGAGAAAAAATCTTTTGTACATTCACTAACTAAGCCTTTTACTTTTTTTGTGAATCTTAAAAAGCCATCATTCAGTTTTTTTGTTTTTGTTTTTTTTAAGGTAAAGAGAACATTTAGATCAACACAATATTTTATTTGCTGTGGCAAGATGACAAAAATATTTTGATATTTGTTTGGTTTGAATTGATTTCCACCTTTTCCAAGTGTGTTCACTCATACACACACACACACACACACACACCCCAAACTAAGCCTATTATTTAGCACTTGCCTTTGTGATGTGTCATTTATATTTAATGCTGCCAGGACAGGAAGAGATACAGATGGGACCTTTGCATTGGCCATTCCCCAACCAGGATGGGTAGGATTACCTTTTCATACTACTTCTAAAGTTTCAAACTTGTACTACCACCTCCTTTCCAGCTTAGAACAATCCAAATGATTTTTTTTTATAATTCTTACTCTAGGGAAGCACTTGATAAATAATCTAGCTTCCAAGTTTATTAATCTGATGGCAGCCTGTTTGGGAGCACCCCATCTCCACTGAAGAATCCATGGTTGTTCCTCATTTCCAGAGTTGGGTTATCTCCAAATTCATTTGTGCTACTTAGTGATTTGGTTTTGATTAGCAAGAGATTCCAGCCTATATCCAGCTTACCCTGACAACCTTTAAGAAAACCACAGAGTGATGTAATGAGCTCATGCATGGAAAAATAAACAGCTCTAGAGAAACCTGCAGTAGCAGCCTCAAGTAAATATTCTGTAGTCACAGGGGTTTTGAACATGACGTTATTGAAGAGGAAGAATGAGTAATACATTAAGGTTAGCAGCTGAAGACAGGTTTGTGTGTGCCTAGTTTAAAAAAAAATAATAGTAGCTGTTTATTTCAAAATCTTGCTTGTTGAATGGAATCCAACTCCACATGGTCTATTCTATTCAGCTCTGGCACTCAGGCATCATGCAAGCATCTTATGTGACAGCTTTCTGCTGTCTGAAGCTCTTAGGAGACAGGGTTGTAAGTGTAAAGGAGCTTTGAAAACAAGAATGGTGATATTTACCTTCCTTTTTTTTTTTTTTTCCAATTGCATTCACGTGGTGTCCAAACTTCAGAGTTTATCAAAGAGAGAAATAGCTTAAAAGATGTATGTCTGTATGTACTCCTGCAAGAAGAAGAAGCAAATATGCCGGCCACCCCAAAGGAAGCCTGTGTACTTTCAGGTGGGGCATGACAATGTAGTTTATCTCCAAAGCTACGCACTGTGAGGTGGAATGTGGTTATATTAGGTATATTATCAGAACTCAGGTTCTGTTGTTTGTCTGCTTTGTCTCATTTTTTCCCCCCCACTTACAGGAGAGGAAAACAAAAAGTGAGAAAAGCCCACAGTAGCTCCCTCCAGTACTCATCTAAGAATTGATACCATTTTCCTACATGACTTTCCTAGTGATCAGGGGTAGTGGTTGCTCCCAGGAGAAATATACTCATGTTTCCTTAGAGACATGGTATCTTGCTAGGATTCTGCTTTCAAGCCACCTACTTGGAGAACTGATGCAGTTCCTCCCATGTCAGATTGTCACGTGAGGCCAACCAGCATGTATCAAGGCAGGGTCTACTGATTTGCCCTTAAGAAAGAAAATGGCAGTTTGGGTGAGATACACCAAAAAGTAGGCAAAAATTTGTTTGATTTGTTAGTAGGCTTTTTATTTTTAGTAGTGAGAACTAAGTTCAAGAGCTTGAAAACTCCTATATTATTTTCCAGAA